GTAAAGGAGCCACCTAATCCAGACTTGATGCTATTTTGGTCAGAGGTGGATGTTGGAGTAAGTTTCCCCCCCACCCCGAGGAAGTAAAATCAAAGACTAATAAGGAGAAATTAATCTGGAGCAATATTTGGGAGGTATTCCTACATGTATGTTATCAGTCTGCTCTTTCTGCTACCAAGAATCATCCAAATTATGATGAAATATTATCAGTCTCTGAAAGGGTTGGTGAAATAAACTTGGAATTACTTGTACTTATAGATAATAAGCAAAAGATTAAAATCCATTAACAGACCATGAATGTATTTGAGTAATTGGGAGTTTTAAAGCTTGTTAGATTTGTCTTAAATCAGTCAACACACCTATTGTTTTTCAGAACAACCTAGTGTTTGTGTATGAACTGAACGTATTTCCATAATTATTCCAAACATGGACACAATTACAGACTTTACATGAATGCTAAAAAAAGATCATAATCTTTAAAATTTAAATATATCATGTAAGCATTTCGATTTTTCAGTGAACAACTACACTACAATCTAGAGCAGCGGTCCCCAACATTTTGGGCACTAGGGACTGGTTTCATGGAAGACAATTTTTCCACAGACTTGGGGGAGAGAGGATGGTTTCAGGATGATTCAAGCACGCTATATTTATAGTGCATTTTATTTCTATTATTGTTACATTGTAATATAGAATTAAATAATTATGCAACTCACCATAATGCAGAGTCAGTGGGATCCCTGAGCTTGTTTTCCTGCAACTAGACAGTCCCATCTGGGACTGGGACTGTGACTGGTGATGGGAGACAGTGACACCTGAAGTGTGTTGCTTGTGTCCAGTCTACTTCAGAATCTGGTTTTGGTGGCTGTCACTGCAGAAAACCCTGCTTCACAAAGATAGGATGTTGGAAATAGAAGCAGGCTTTTCAGTGCTTTTGTGGAAGTCTCAGGATATTCTCCCTTGACTTTAATTCAGAACATAATGGACATTTGAAGTTGTCTAAAACATACTTTTAAGGCCACCGTCATTTGAGATCTCAAGCAGATGATCCTTTCCTAACACTGACAAAGTCGATTCACCTTGCTTATTCACAGATGGGTCATGATGCCGGTCCTTACCAGTTAGGAGGTCTTTTGTGGTTGGGAAATAATGCTCAAACTCCTTTGAAAGCTGAAAGAAAGAAGCTCCATCTGGGAGAAAGAAGGCCCTGGCTCAGTCTCTTTCACAATCTCTGCTAATGTTTGAAAAACATGTCAAAAATCCCAGTGTTCACTTATTGCCCCCCACAATTCCAGTTTGGCTTTGAATGCAGCCACTTTATCTGCCAACTTGAAGACAGCTGTCACCCCCCCACCACACCCCTGAAGTGACAGATTGAGTTCGTCGAGCAGGTTGAATATGTCACACAAGTAAGCAAGTTTTGCAACCCATTATATATCACTGAAATGTGCTGCCAGTGGTGACTGTTTTTCTAAAAGAAATCTCTGGAGCAGCTCTTGTAACTCAAAAACTTTGGCCGGTCATCTACATTTAGAAAACCATCTCACTTCTATGTATAAGAGAAGATGTGTGTGCTCTGAGCCCATCTCCTCACAGAGCTGTGTGAACAGATGTGAGTTAAGGGCATGTACTTTAATGTGGTTGATGATTTTAATCACATCCTGCAAAACATTTAGTTCAGGTGACATTTTTCAGCTAGCCAGCATTTCTCTATGGATGACACAGTACGTAGACGCACGTTCAGATGCGACCTCCTTGACCCAAACAGTGAAACCAGAAAGCCATGCAGTCATGACAGCCACTCTGTCCATGCATATACTGACACAAAATGACCAATTCAGTTTTCCTGATACGTAATCATTCAAAGACTTGAATAGTTCTGCAGCCGTGATGTTGGTTGGCAACAAAAGTGCACATAGCATATCCTCATGCTCATCTCCTAAAAAATATATCACACCAAAACAAGCATTGTTGCCTTGTCAACATCATTAGACACGTCAACTTGGATTGTGTAACACAGTGACTCATTAATGCTCTTTAACAATTGTGCCTCAGTACCCTCTGCTGTTTCATCAATTTGTCTAGTTATGGTGCTGGCTAAAAGAGGAACAGGTGCCACCTTTTGAACTTCAGTCTCTCCTAAAAGTTCATGGCAAATGTCCTTAGCAGTAGGCGGGATCAACTTTTCACTAATAGTAAAGAGCTTCTTAGCTTTAGCAATGCAGTTAGCCACTAAGAACGATGCTCTCAGTGCAGACACATTTGTTGAAGTCGTGGCCTTCAGTAATTGCTGCTGTTCTTCATGTTCGTGTTTTTTTTTTTCTTTTAAAAAACTCCAAAGCCTTGTCTTTTAATGCAGGGTGCTTGGTCTCCATGTGGCAAAGCAATCTTGAAAGTTTCGTGGCTTTGTTGGATAGCTGGTCACCACATGTTACACAAAGCAGGCTTGGAGAATGTGAATCACCTGTTGCAGTGAACCCCGTAATATGAGTAGGACTCATGTTTTTTTCTTTTAAATTCAGCTTTCATTTTGTTGGCAGTCTTATGTCTTCTGCTGTCTCATCATTGGGTCTTCCCCCTTTTTGAAAGAAGCTCTCCAGTGACGTTTGTTTTTTACTCATTTTTGCTAGAGTTAGCTTGTGGGCTTACCAAAACTGTGACTGAGACAAGTGTGCAGTCTGGGAAAGAGGCATGAATGGAAGTGGCAAATAGAATAATGGGTGGGCCATGCATGGATTAAAATAAGTGTTGGATTCTGACTTAAAGCTGCCACCAGATGCAGCTCTACAATTGAAGTACATCAGCCTACCACCAAATGGAGCTTGATTGTTACTTGCCACTCACTGATAGGGTTTTGATATGAATCTGCAAGCAATTGATTTATTATGGTCTCTGTGCAGTCAAACCTCTCTGCTAATGATAATCTGTATTTGCAGCTGCTCCCCAGCACTAGCATCACCACCTCAGCTCCACCTCAGATCATCAGGCATTAGAGTCTCATAAGGAGCACACACCCTAGATCCCTCACATGTGTGGTTTACAGTAGGGTTCTTGCTCTTATGAGAATCTAATGCCACCACTGATCTCACAGGAGGTGAAGCTCAGGTGGTGATGCAAGCGATGGGGGAGCGGCCGTAAACACAGATGAAGCTTCGCTTCTGGCCCACCACTCACCTCCTGCTGTGTGTCCTGGTTCCTAACAGGCCACAGACCTTTACTAGTCCGCTGTCCGGGGGATTGGGGACTGCAGATGTGGAGTATATATAGATATAGTCCTGTACTATTAGTATTAGTTTTCGCCAGTTAAAATGAGGAATTGTAGAGGGTTAGTAAGAATTAGAAGTCAAAGTTGGTATACCAATTCATTTAAGAAAATCTAATATTAATATAAAATGCATCTGTTTATAATATTTTATTGTTAAGATAAATTTCAAATATCAACTGTTATTTTAGGTACAATTAGTTTCTAAAAAATAAAACCTGCCTAACTCACACAAAAATTCAAGTAACAATTTGACCTCTTTTTCTTTCTCTTTTTGTTATTTCCTTCATTGTATGTCAATTTCCTCTTTAGAAAAATGAGTAAGGCTAGTATTCTGTACCAATTGGCTGGATTTCATATGCCTTATCATATGTTTTGACTTTTTTAAAGAAGACATTTAAAATATAAGCATTGTAGTTTTACATTTATAAATATTTAATGAAATCTAATGAACTTCAATTCTTGAATATTCTGAAAAGGATATTTCTTATAAAATTGTGAGTATTTTATCAAAATAGATTTACATCTATTTTTTTAATATCTGTATATTAACGCTACCAAATTAATATCTAACTTAATCATCCCCTCACCAAATCCTCCAAAATGAAAGAGGGAGGTGTTCATGTAGGATGAAACGTGAGTTAAATGACTTGATCAGAATTATAGAGTTTCTAAATGTTAACATTTGAATTGAGGTCTTTGAACCGTAACTCAATTTTCTTTTATTCTATACCATGTTATACAATCTCTTCTTTGATTTAGTTTTTTGTTCTTATGAATAAGACTTGTAATCATTCATCAGTACTAGAATAGTCATTAAATTCACATCATAATGTGACTTCTAAATGGAACACAAGCAAACACTAGTGCATTGTAAAGTACTTATATGACAAATAGATTTATTTTCCTATAGCTGTCAAAAGGTAGCTTGATTTTCTATTAGGCTTTAGAGTTTGTTCAGATCACTACAGGAGGCTGTAGGTGTGTTGGTTAAAAGCAGAGTCTCTGAAATCAGTTAGAATGCAGGCTTTGTGACCTTGAACAAGTTATTCTTTCTTTGCCCCAGTTGCGTTATCTATAAAATGAGGATGATAATATTAATGTATACCTTGTAAGATTAGTGTATGGATAAATAGATACATATATAGATATAGATAGATTGCTTGGTATATTTTCTGATCTTTAGAAGCAGAAATTTCAATGATTATTTTATACAAAGAAAAATAAAATCAACAAAAAAAGCTTAATTATTTTCATAAGTATATTTAATCAGATAAGAATTAGCTAAAATCCCAGATTAAAGCAATTTCTCAACACACATTATACAACATATTTTTATAAGGAAATGTGAAATATCCATTTACTGATATGAGCTACAGTGGAGTTTGGAAAAAAATACAGAGAATTGCTTAGGAGAGGGATGCTGTTTTATTCTTAGATATCTGTGACTAGCAAATTCATTTGGGTAAGAGTAATTTCAGAGGGGAAAAAAACATGCTTTTTTCCCAAAATCAATGCCTCTGAAATACTCTGCATTTTTGATATATGCTTAAAAACAAAACAAAACAAAACAAGCCACTCACATCACAGAAGTAATTGATGGAACATAGCAAGTCTCTTTTCGGTTCAGAGGAGAGACACTTACGTGCATCGATAATTAGGAAGTACTCAGTGATGTGGTATAAGTGATCAAGACTAATCAGCTTTTTCTTTAATCTTTTTTCTTAACAATGTCCAGATTCCTCCAAAGCACCTCAACCTTCTTCAGGTGTAACTGGTAACATGCAGCCTCCCAGTACTGCTGGCCAGCCAACTGCCTCTGCCATCCCTTCTCCAAGTGCCAGCAAGCCCTGGCGCAGCAAGTCCATGAATGTCAAACACAGCGCCACCTCCACCATGCTAAGCATAAAGCAGTCGAGCCCAGCCACCTCTCCCACACCATCTTCAGATAGACTAAAGCAACCCGTCTCAGAAGGGGTCAAAACTGCTCCCTCGGGACAGAAATCCATGCTTGAAAAGTTCAAGCTGGTCAACGCCCGGACTGCTTTACGCCCACCACAGTCTCCCAGTTCAGGACCCAGTGATGGTGGGAAGGATGATGATGCCTTTTCTGAGTCTGGTGAAATGGAAGGTTTTAATAGTGGTCTGAACAGTGGTGGCTCAACAAATAGCAGTCCCAAAGTGTCACCTAAATTGGCCCCTCCAAAAGCTGGAAGCAAAAATCTCAACAATAAAAAGTCTTTGCTACAGCCAAAGGAAAAAGAGGAAAAGAACAGGGACAAAAATAAAGTTTGCACTGAAAGACCAGTCAAGGAAGAGAAGGATCAGATGACAGAGACTGCTCCAAAAAAGACCTCTAAAATTGCAAGCTTGATCCCAAAGGGTAGCAAGACGACGGCAGCCAAGAAGGAAAGTTTAATTCCATCTTCCAGTGGGATTCCAAAACCAGGCTCAAAAGTGCCAACAGCAAAGCAAACCATTTCACCTGGCAGCACAGCAAGCAAAGAATCTGAAAAATTCAGGACTACCAAAGGAAGCCCTTCCCAGTCCTTACCTAAGCCCGTAACCACTGAGAAAGCAAGTGCGGCTAACTGCCCTGCTCCTTTGGAAGGAAGGGAAGCTGGCCAACCTTCTTCTGGTTCCTGTACTGTGCCAGTGGCACAGAGCAGTGGGCAGAGCACAGGAAATGGTGCTGTTCAACTCCCTCAACAGCAGCAACACAGCCACCCGAATACTGCCACGGTGGCACCATTCATTTACAGGTAAGGCGGCCTCTGTTCATCCACGGTTGTAAAGATGTTTACAGTGTACATACTCAGAGTGCAATAGGGAGGCTGCTGGAGTGGTGCTTTATATGGTCATTTTGGACCAATGTTTCATTCTAAAGATAGCGGCCTAGAATTCAACGTGGAATATTAGCCTGGAAGAAAACCTGTGATATGATCTAGTTTCATTCTCTCTCTCAGAAATTGAGGCCTTCAAAAATTAACCTACTTGCTATCAAAAGCAAGATAGAACCCAGATGCCATGACTTTCCCCTGTGTTTATTACTATTATTACTACTTCTGTACTGCTACTATTACTAATAGTAGTCTTTTAAAAATTATTCTCAGTTTTATCGAGTTTACAGATATTTTTATTGTCACTCTTGGGATAAAGTGTACCGTAATGGTTAAAGACGCAGGCTCTGGAATCAGATAGAAGTGAATTTAATCCCCACGTCTGCCACTTACCAGCTATATCGCTTTGGACAAGTTACTTAACATCTCCTAGTCTCTTTTTCTTCAGCTGTAAAATAGGAATCATAGTCTACTTTGTAGAGTTGAGAATATTAAAAGAGATCATGTATGTCACATGTTTACTGTGTATCCTGTTGTACTGTAAATGTTCCTTAAATGTTATTTATAAGGCATTAGTTTTTCAGTGTAAATTTTATATTAATTTCCTAACAGGCATAACTTTCTAGCTAAAAAGAATTACTTGTCTCTTTATATTTTATTATTTTTATATTTTATTTTTTATTTTACTTTGTGTTTTATTTTGTAGGTATTAAAATATACAATGTATGCTATATCTAAAAATATGCATCTTACTACACAGTTGATAAAGATAGCACACTCTGCCTGTTGTGCTGTGATTTGTTTTCATTGATTAGAAATATGTCAGTCATGGCTGTGTCCCCAGTTGTATTCACTGCCTGGTTAGTAAGGAGATGGCCTAGGGAGGAGCAATGTCTGCTTTTGTGGATCCTTCCGTCAGGCTGCCAGTTTCACAAGAACAAAATGTTATGAATAGGAAGCCCGACCTGCTATAATTAAGAAAGGGTCAGGATCATACAGTTTTAAAATTTATTAAATTTATTAAATGTTTTTAAATAAAGCAAGTAATTGTAATAATTTGTTTTCCCTCAATGAAAAACCTAAGTTTTTTTTTTTTTTTCCTGGGGCTTTATACAATCAGCAAAACAAAATTATAATTATTACATTAATTCTTTTGGGACACCTAAATTAAGTCTTGCTATTCAGACTTTAGTACCAGTTATTTATTCATTTAAAGTCTTTGTGTTTGGATCAGATGGGAGTTTGCAGCTCTTTCTGACTCCAGGGTCCCTATCTGAAAAAAGAGAATTTAAAATGTCAGAATCATAATCCACATTTTAAAAATATAACAAAAAATCATGAAGTTTTAAATATGTCATACTCAGCACCCCTGTGGATTTCAAATATATTCTGTAAAAACATCAATCATTTACAAAAATCCCAAGTGAATTTTGTAGCAAAGTGTAAATCTAGAACTGCTATTTTAGTAAGCTTCCTTCTATAAGTAGCGACAAGCTTTTTTTGTTTTTTGGATTATTTGCAATAAAATATCCAGTGACTATAAATTTGGTGGTTTCCGTATGAAAATGTAACTTTTAACTGTTAAAAAGGGGAAGCAGAACAGCTTAGAAATTAAGTGTGGATCCGCTATGCAACCCTGACAAATTCTCCATTCCCTTTGAGTTTCTGTTTACGCTCTTTAAAATGAAGACTATAAACGTTCAGTAATGTAGCCAAGTAGCTAAGAAAACAGGCTGCAAAGTCAGTCTCATGCTACCTTTGTTCAGAAACAGCATCTTGTGATGGTTGAGGTGGTAACCTCTGGAGCCACGTCGCCTCAGTTGCAATCTCAATGCCACCACTGGTAGGTGATGTGACCTTGAGTAATATATTAAAAAAAAAAAAAAAAAGATTCTGAAGCTCAAGGGATAATAATAATAGAAACTACTTCATAAAGCTATTTTTAAGATTAAGTGAGTTGATATTTATAAAGGGTGTAAGAACAGTATCTGCCACGTAGTAAACAGCCTTCCCCAAACTTCAGTGTCTTATCCTGTAAAGTGTGATTGATAAAGAATGCCTACCTTGATTAGTTGTTTTAAATATTAAAGAAAATTATTCCATGTAGAATTTTTAGCACAGAGCCAGGTTTGAAGTAAATGACATAAACTTCAGTAATGATTTTTATCATTATCAATAATATAAGATAGGTAGAAATAAATAAAACTAATAAGAAAACTTCATACCACAGTCTACATGTAAGGCAATAGTTGTTTGAAGTCTTTTATTAATTCAGAACAATTTTATAAATGATAATGTAAATCCTCTCAAGGAAGGATAGTTAATATCTATGCTTTTCAGCTGTAGGTGGAACATGTTTGTATTATGGAGTGATGATGTTCACACTATGTAAGCCCCGATGTTCTTTCTGCCTCTCATTGCTCCAACTCCATGTAACGATCCTTCTTGAAAAATCCCTAGCACACCAGGCCTAGCTAGAAGTCCAATGCACTGTCTCTTGCACCACAGAGCCAGCCAAAACCATATCCATATTTTATTCTTCTCTTTCAGTCATTGCCTCCCCACACATTCCATTTAGTTAGTCCTCCTAACTCATCTTCTAAAACATACCTTCCTTCAATCAGGCTTTCTTTCCATTTCCACTTCCCCTCTCCTGGCCCAAGCCGTGTCACCACCAAATCTCACCGTTTCCACTGAGTCTCCAGGCTCCCAATCTGGGCCCTTTACAATCACGTCCTTCACACAGCAGGCACTCTGCCCTTCCAAAAGCATAAATCATATATGTCATTTCAATTCATGAAGCCATCTCTTAGATTTCCATAGCACTTAAAAAATAAAAAACACCACACCATGACCTTCCCTGTGTAATCTAGCCCACTATCTAAGCCCCTGGACTCACCATGCTATTCTTCTAGCACACTGTATCCTAGTTTTATTCTTTCTCAATATACCAACTCATCCCGCTTTATGGTCTCTATCATATATGTTCTCTCTGCCTGTAACACTCACTGCCAGATCATTGCAGCCCATCTTGTCATTAGAGCTCTGCTAATCTCCAACCATCTACACCAAGGAAACTTATAGCCTGCCTCTTGCTTATTAACTAGTGTGACTTTAGCCACATCCCCCTGTAATGTAAACTCATTGAAAGCAAGAGTCTTGTCTTTCTTATTCAGTAGCATAATTGCCCAGGACAGGGCCTACCCACAGTACATACCAAATAAAATTGGTGAATGAAACACCATCACCTCGGTTAGACTCACCTGCTATGAAAGAATTTTTAAAATTGCCAAAAATGTGTAATAGAACAGAAAAAAATTCTGAAACTGCCCACTTCCTATAAATAAGAGGGTTTAATTGAAATATAAACAGCTTTAAAATTTTTAGGAATTAAACCATACCTTCTTTTTAGCGCCTTCATTCTCTTATTTTTTTTCTTTCAACAACTACCTATTAAATATCTATTATGCATGAGACATCAAGGGTAGAGTGGAAAATCACAGATGATCAGGAAAATTACTCTTTCTGCAGTGTGTAAAGTGGATTGTGAGAGCGGCCAGAGTAGGATGAACCGGATTAAATGTATACATAAAGGGCCCATTTACTGACTTTCTGATTGCGTCTCTTCTTCTGCATTTGTTCCTTGGCATTCTACTTCAAGAAAGAGATTTATTTTCTCCTCCCAATCTATTTATTTAAATCGAATAGCTACCATTTAACGTATTTCTATTATATTTAATGGGATATAATCTATTGCTATCACAGTTTATTTTGATGCTTAAATGTTTCCAGATTTGGCCACTGGGAGCCCCTTGGAGATGGCTTGTGTGTCCTTTCAATGTACCCCATTACTCTTTGAGCTCTTTGAGAACTTTCTTTGTGGCTCAAGTTGTTCTAGGCTCATCTTATACTTTTCCTACCTCGGCTTCAGCTTTTATCTAAGGAGCCCTGATTTCTTTTTGTGAAAAGTGATACATAAAAACTAAGATTTCGGCCGGGCGCGGTGGCTCACACTTGTAATCCTAGCTCTCTGGGAGGCCGAGACGGGTGTATTGTTTGAGCTTAGGAGTTCAAAACCAGCCTGAGCAAGAGCGAGACCCCGTCTCTACTGAAAATAGAAAGAAATTAATTGGACAACTAAAAATACATAGAAAAAATTAGCCGGGCGTGGTGGCACATGCTTGTAGTCCCAGCTACTCGGGAGGCTGAGGCAGAAGGATCGCTTGAGCCCAGGAGTTTGAGGTTGCTGTGAGCTAGGATGACGCCACGGCACTCTAGCCCGGGCAACACAGTGAGACTCTGTCTCAAAAACAAAAACAAACAAACAAAAAAAAAACTAAGATTTCACTGCTCTTAAGTTTTCTAAGTGGTCAAAACTAAGAAGTATATATAGATATATACATATACATATACATTTTACATAATTATTTCAATATTTATGTAATTTATTATATATAATTATATATAATTACCGATATACATTGGAATTGGAAATACTGTTGTATATGTGTATATATATTGTACACACACATACATATACTCACATTTCCAACTCCAACTCAACATCACAGGATTTATTCTTCTATCCATACTTGCATTTCCTTTTGTCAACCTTGAGAAACCTGGCTCTCATTATCCTCAATATGTTTTCCTGTTTGCTCAATTCTCCTCAATCTAACAAATCTCCCATCCACACTGGACTACTCTTCACTCTGACAGTTTCCTGGCCTGGCCCCTGACTATCACTTGTCTGCCTTTTCTGCAGGAAGGAAAGAGAAAAGCAAGCACATTACTGGTGTTTGAAAGATATGTGTTTTTCCTTTCCTTTATAAGGCAGGAATTACAATACTGTTAGTTAATGTTTCTGACTCAAATCAGTCCTATTTGTGTCCACATTAGTGACTATATCCATATCAAGATGAACTCATAGGAGATATATTTCTTGAATATAAATCAATATGCAAAAACCCATATTTATGGAGTTGGAAATTTGAAGTTTCAAAGTATCTAGGGTTTATTACTAAATTTCTTTAAGTATTCATTAAGTAAAGAACAACATTTAGGGTAAACCAGTGAACATTGTCGCATTCAAATATTGTCTGTTATTGACTTAGTGATTAAGCTGTCTGTGAGCTAAGGGGACCTCAAATGCAATAAAATACTTAGTGGCTATAGGCATTTGGATGGAGTTAAACTGTAGCAGTTAACAGATCAATATTTATATGCAGCCAGGTTCAAGTACCCATTAAGCATCTACCAGATTGTTACTTAGGGCAAATTATTTGACCTCTGGAAGTCTTAATTTCTTTATCCTACAGCAACTACATTATAGAATTGTGGTAAAGTTTGAGTGATATGCCACAGGATGAAAAAAACCTAGACACAACACTTGACACGTAGTAAGTGCACAAAATAGGTAATATCTTTTATGATCATCATTGGTGTATTTAGACTTTCAACTATTATACTATGACTCTTAGTAACAGGTGAAGGGCTTGGCTTACGAGAACTCTAAATAAATATTTGTTTTCAATGCTATATCTTGTAATCTCAGTAGATACAACATGATGAACATCTTATGAATGCACAGCAAAATAGTTTGCACAGGACAATGTCTGCTAAATATTTTGAAGGAATATCACGATAACCATTTTTCATTTTTCTAGTCAATTTTCTAGGGAAATGTAATATCAGTTTATGTGGAAACAGTGAATGATGTCACTGTGAAATTTATCTGTCAAAATGTATCTTTTGATTAGAGGATACTCTTGAATCTGAAGTCCTTATAAATTTTTTCATAAATCAACCCAAATCTTTTTATTTTACTGGTATGAAGCATGCATAAAAATAGAGGACATGCTGGGAGTCTCCAGAGATTTAACTGAATTTCTTTGATCATTTCTATAAAAGCTAAATCTTTAGCAGTTAGCATCAATTGCCCCTCTGTAGACGAGAGTTAAAATCTATTTCTGCTTTAGCAACAGACGATGAGGTGGAAGGAGATACTAGAGAAATGGATGGCTTCTTACATATGTATAGTAGAGATTTATGGTCCCATTTACATGTGACTACCAAGGATGACTTCTAAGTCTGTTTTCACAATCATCTGAAACATACTTTCTCCATGTTCTTTTCATTGATCAATCTGTTTTCATATTATTGCTGGTGTAGATAACTCATATAGGGAGTACCGTAGCACCACCCGAAGGATGGACATATTTGAAACATGGACTTGGGGGGCGGGACCAAGGGCAACATACGTAACCTAAACATCTGTACCCCTATAATGTGCTGGAAAAAAAAAGAAAATAATATAAACAAGATTCTCTCATGACTTAAAATAAAAAGACGTAAAAGAGTAAATCAGTCAGAAATATGCACTTCCACATTTGAAAAAACAAAGGCTTCCAAGACAAGACTGAGCTGTCAGAAATATGAACACATTTTTTAAAAGGCTGTCTCAAACAGGCGGAGTGGGGACTTAAGCAGTGGAATTGAGTATTAGGTCTTATATATTGAGGAAGATAGCCACGAATCAGCTCCTGAGGGATGCTTTCTAAGATCTGTTTGTTTAGAGCACAGCAAAATCTCTAGTCCCAAAACACATTCTGAATATTCTTTTTTGCTCTAGATTTTCTTAGAAGGAAATAGAATCTTTATCACTGCCATGGCCACAAGCATTCTGGCTCCCGTGACAGCTGCTGGTCTTGTTCTAATAGGAATCAATTAGCACTGGGCTTTAGACAAACATCCCAGTGAAGTACTTAATGTGACTCAGCGTCCGAGAGATGAATCTGTGAATACAGAATCTGCAGGACTATAGGCCAATCCTGGCTCACAGCCAGTTCACCAAGGCCCTGTGCCTCTCTGATGCTTCTTGGCAGGTAGCCAGTCAGCCTCCCTGGGGTCCACAATCTTACTACATACTCTCCCTTTAAACTTCTTCAGCAAGTAATAAAAGTCCTTAGAACACTGCTGATGATTTTTTCTCCTCATTCAGAGACAGTAGGCTAAGAAAGAGGTCAAGGAAAAAGAGTGGCCCACAAGAAATGAAGCCAAGTGGAAGAATAGGCTATAGTAGATGTTAGAAATGAATGTGGAGGGACTATTGGTAGACAGGGTATATGGGGAAAACTGGGGGGCCAGAGAAGAAAAGAAGTAGGCTGCACAAAGAGCAGATGTGTTAGCTGTTTTAATATTGACCAGATTTCCACATGTCTTGAGAGAATACCTTTCCAGGTCTTTAGTAATAATAACAGTGAATTTCACAATTGTTTTGCAAGGCACATATTTTTCTCTGTTTCTACAGATGACCAAACTGAAGTTCAGAGAGGTGAAGTAACTTGCAATGTCACATGAGTTAATAACTGTTCAGTGGTGGGGCCAGGTTTTACATCCAAGCCCACAGCATTCACCATTATGCCTTCCAGATGCTTTATCTGCCAGTAATACTATTTTACTATTACTACTAATGTGATTTATTCATTTATCAAATATTTCTGTTGTTTTCTTTTTATCCATAGGACTCTGCTTGACAGGTTTGTCCAACATTTGTTGAGTGACACCTATATGCTAGACATTGGGGTACAGTTGTGAGCTTAAACATGGAGAATAGAGTCTAGTTTGGGAGTTAAACATTAATCAAATAATTGTATTAATTTAATATTACCGGAGTACGAAGTGCTAAAAAGATAAGTCTAGGGAGCACTAAGTGCTTGTAATTGAGGACTAGATCAGTGAAATTGGGGAAGATTCTTTAAGAAACACTTGAACGGAGACTTGAAGGGAAATACTCAACTGAATGAAGTAGGGAGGAAAATAATCAAGTGCAAGACCCTGTTTAGGCAGGAAACGATGGAAAGCATGTGAAAGACTCTTGTGGCCACAGTGGAGAGGATAAAGGCTACAGTGTGCCAGATGGTGCTGGAGAGCAGGCAGGGAGAGACCATGCAGGGCCTCGTGTGCTCCATGAGGATTTCATCCAAGGGCTCCATGAACAAGGACTGGGTTTGTTGAGAAAGATTGAGTTCAGTTCCATGTGTGATGGGTTTAGCGTATTTTCATGACAACCAACGGAAAATGTCAATTAGGCAATTATGCACATCTATAATTCAGAGCAAAATTCTGGATTAGAGTTGGAACTTTGGAATTCTTGTGTGGCTAACTTCTAATTAATACAATGAATATAATGAGATTATCTAGATAGACTATGGAATTGAAAACTGGGCGAAGCTTAGGATATTCCTTTGTGAAACTCCCAAATTTTGCTCTTCGTATGACCTTCTTTTTACTACCCAGAACCACAACATTTAATGAATCCGTAAAGAAAAACAAAAGAGGGAAAGAGTAGAATCCACAGAGAATTGGAAATAAATTGAAGAATTTTGTCATAAAAGCCAAGGTAGAAAAGTTTCAAAAACAGAAGAGTGGTCAGCTGTTCTAAATGCTGCCAGGATATCAAAGAAAGTGAAGACTAAAAATGTATGTTGAGTTTAGCAACTTTGGGGTCATTGCTGGCCCTTAATAGTATATCTTGTCACTAGAATAGCATATTCTCTTTCTTAATTTTGCTATACTCCTATATTCAGTGTTAAGTTAGAATAAAATAGTAATAGACTTCCAGAAATTACTGGAGGCCAAGGCACAGCTTTGTATAGGAATTCTTACATAGCTCTCTCTTTCTTTTATGTATCAATTCATATACATAACACATACATCCATACACACAGCATATAGTTTTTCATAATTTCTTAAAATCTTAATGAACTCTTCAGAATTTCTAGACCTGTTGATTAAATATCAACTATTTCTTGTATCAATGTTTACATTTTATTTTTTTCTCAAAACCAGGATTTAGAATGAAAGAAAAATATTAATTAAAAATTGAGTCAAAAATATACTGAACTTTTCTTTCACATATTAAAGTAAATAATTTTTTTAAAGTAATAAGTATTTAGAGATCACATGTCATGGTCCAGAATGAGTACTAGAAATGGGACTCTAAGTAAGGTGAATGATCTGTCTACAAAGAACATAGTCCAGTGTTCAATACTGTATTGGCTTGCTGCCTCCTGTGTCTTAGTAGTTTATGCTGTGAATTTTTAAAATATATGATAGTTTGGATCAAATATATGTGTGTGTATATATATAATTATATATATGGTATATATGTATGTATATTTGATACGCATCAAATTTTTGTAGATTTTGAAGAAGCTGCATCAAGAAAGAAAGTATATCTTAAAATGTTTGCCAGTGCATTAAAGGAAGAAACAATGCGTGAAATCAAAGTAGCCTATCAAAAGAATATCCAAAGTCCTTTTGTTCAGTGCTTTTCATTTGATTAGATTTATTTTTACATGTTAACCACATATACAATATAAAAGGTAGCTGTAAGAATGAGAAATGTTTCTTGATCTTCGGTAATTAAGTCATTATAATGACATTTAAAGCTTAGAACAAATTTATTATTTATTTTTACTCAGATTTTGTATTTTTAGGATATATGTTGTAGGATTTTTATGGAAAAAAGAATTTTAGGTATGGTTTCAATGTTTGTATTATTTTCACAAAAACATAATTTGGCCAGATTTCCTCTAAAATAGCAAAATGAATTGGATCTTTTCAAACCTTTTCCCCCCAATATGTAATCAACTATTGGTAATTACAAGCTTTCAAATTTAGAAAAGTCAAAGAAATGTGATTTAATATCTCACTCCCACTTGGATTATATATGAAAACTAGCAAAATGCTCCTAGAGATAGACAGCCCTTTAACATCCCAGTCATAAAAAAATACTTACTTTGATGGAAAATTTGGAATAAATTGGTTTTTCTTATACTGTAGAACTTCCACTTTGATGAGTCACTGTTGACTACAATTGCTATTTCTTTATGTTTTCTTGTTTACTATCAGAGCACATTCAGAAAATGAAGGTACCTCTTTACCAGCTGCTGACTCCTGTACCAGTCCTACAAAGATGGATTTATCATATAGTAAAACTGCTAAGCAGTGCCTGGAGGAGATATCTGGTAAGTGACCCGATTAATGGGTAGGTCAAACCTCAGAATTTTTGTAATCTCTCTGTAACTCTTTTTTTATTAAATCGTATTTGTGCTATACTGTTTTTATGCAAAAATGAACAGTGTATATCTCATGCTTCAGAGATTTTTAGATATTTGGCTTTTCTGCTTAGGATGATCTCTTTGTTACTCTGAAAAGAATGGTAATGCTTTCAGAAGCTGAGACGTAAGTCATTTTGCCCCTAGTCAAGTTGAATATAATCAGAGAAAACCTGGAGAATCATCTGTTTCTAAAAATGCAGCCCTTGGGTACATTAGGAGATTGAAAATATTCTAAATATTACCATTGTAAATTTCCCTTGGCTAATCCAAGCATGCTTTGTCTTTAATTCTGTACTATTTAGAACATTGTTATATCATGGCTCCAAATGTGCATCCTGGAAATAAACCTAATTAGAAAAATATTTTATTACATATAGATGATGTAGGAAAAAACATGTATATCCAAGACACAGTTTATATGATTTTTGAGTGTATAAAACAGCATTCTCAGCTTAAGCACAATGTTTTTTTCTAAGATCCAGTTAAGCCTAAGCCTATATGGAAAGCCTTTGGTGTAATTTCATTATATGTAGACTGATTTTTATGAGGAACCATGTACCTCTTAGCAAAATTTACTACTCCTAAGGGGAGAGAGAGTTTAATATTTTGTCTGCTTCTACATATAATAATGCATGAAAGTAGAGGTCTTTTTGTTATTCCAATAAATATCTAGCTCAGACTTAGTGTATTCACAGCTAAGTCCAAAGAAAAAAAAACTAAAGGAACTATTTAATTTTTTTAAAATACTATAGTATTCCAAGGACTCAAAGTATGAGTATTGCTCTGAAGCTCATGAAAGTAATCATAATACAAATTTGAGGGTTAAGAATCTTCCCCAATGCAGCAGACCTGAAACACATTTCGGCAAGCATTAGACAAATATCCTCCAGTGGATACTGACAACAGTGACACAACAACACCCCAGTGGTACCTTTTAGAATTAATATTAGTGATATAATTAGGTATCAGAGGTTTCATGTGGAGATTACAACTAATGCCACATTGATATGGGGATGGCAATTGTAGATTTTTCAAATACTTGGGGGAAATGTTGGCTCTCCTGTAGCTCTCAGTAGTACCATGATCAGAATGATGCTGTGTATCTGTATTGTGACCAGACGTTTTCTAAACCTAGCACGGCAGGAAGATGTGTATGCTTCACATATTTCTTTATACATTAACATCTTCAATATCCCTATAAAGGACTAGAGCTAAAATATGTAGGAGAAATGAATTTAATAGAGTTTAGATTGTAATTTTTATGTGAATTTCACAATACAACATTGTTTTCTGAAATTAATATATCACCAAGTATCTGATTGAATAAATAATCTACATTTTATTTTTTATCTACTTATTATCTACCATTTGATCATTTTCTCATATTTCTAGTTAATATTTCCATTTAATGTTCTGGTGTTTTTAGTAAAATACTTGATAGTGAAATATAAACTAGAATTTAATGTAATATAATAATTTAATGGATTTATTAGAAAGCATAATATTATTTTGTAGCAGTAATAAATTGCTTAGATAGAATCATAGATTTGAGTCTATGATTTAGGTAGGAATATAATAAAAGAAAGAAAACAATAAATAAATGGTGTAATGAGGCTTTCCAATTGTGTCATTCTAACTATCATCTGTTTAAAATTAGCCTGTAGCTGGATAGTGAAAGTGTCTCTCCATACAAGCTTGAGATTTCATGGATGAAAGATGATATGTATTTATCGTTAGTAAGTTACAAATTGAGTACTGTAACTGGAGAAATCTAGATGAGGATATACTAGTAGTCCAGTGATGAGAAGATGATTATCATACAGAAAAGAGATTGCATATCTTCATCATTTTTAAAATTTTGGCTTCTGGATCATATCACTCTATTACAATTTCTGCCTTAACTTTTGGAGATATTAATACATAGGTGATCCTTACAACACCCTGGCCCCACTTCCAGTGATCTTGTCTTGCGGTCCCTCCTGAGCTACTTATTCTCATGCTCATAGCCTAGCTCTGGACATCATCAGAAACTGCAACTTCTCTGTGACCAACCTTTCATGTACCCCACTCCTGCCGATTACAACCTTGTATCTTTTCAGTATTGCTCCTTTTGTTCCCCGACTTTACCAATGGTTCTCCTAGGATTACCAATGGCCTGATCCTGCCACTTCTTACTGTGCTCACCAAACTCTGCACATTTTTCATCCCTCCTTAATCAGCTAAATTCCTGTAATAACTGAATGTAATTTTACTCTTATATATACCCTCAACTCCCTTGCTTGTCTCTCACTTCATTGTACTCATTTGATGAAATCACAGACATGGTTACATTTAAGTCTTCACTTCTTCCATACCAACAATGAACAAACCAGGAGAAAAAAACATCACGCGTTGATGTGACTCAGTTTACATTCATCACCACCAACTTCAAGTGAATATTTATTGCTCCCAGCAATCATTTCATATTTCTGCGGTCCATTTACTCTCTCAAATTCTTAGGTGAAAATATTATACCTTTTCTTCTCAAAACTACAATACCACCTGTCCCATCCTTTCTCTTCACTGATGACCTTGATGTGTACTTCACTGAAAAAATTGAAGCACAGAGAAAAGAAGTTCACAAATTCCTGTTATCACACTTACCCAAGTATAGCATTTATACCCACTTAATACCTATTTACTCTGCCTTTACTTGGATTACTCTTTTCCTTGTCTTTAGTAGCTCCCTCTCCACCAAATCATTCTCTTTAGCCCATGGGATGTTATCATCTCTCCAAACTTAATTTTTTAAAAGAACAACTTCTCTTCCTCCCAAATTTGCCCTCCAAGTACTGCTATCATTTATCTCTTTCTCTTCATGGTATACTCTAACAAAGAGTAGCCTTCAATCACAGTCTCTTAGATTTTTAGCCCCATTTCTTCACTGAAGCTGTTCTTATTGCAGTTACCATTAACATCAACATGCCAAATCCAATGATCAAGTCTCAGTCCTCATCTTATTTCACCTCTTAACAGCAATTTGTCCTCTTCTAAGAAAGTTTCTTCCTTGATGCTATGATTTGAATATGGTTTGTTTGGCCTTACCAAGTTTCATGTTGAAATTTGATCACAAATGTTGGAGGCGGGGCCTGGCAGAAGTTTTGGGGGGTTGTGGGTATAGATTCCTCATGAATGCCTTGGTGCTATTCTTGTAGGAGTTAGTGAGTGAGTGAGTGAGTGAGTGAGTGAGTGAGTGAGTTCTCTAATTCCCATGAGAATTGTTTTTTTTTTATTTTTATTTTTTATTTCAGCATATTCTGGGGGTACAGATGATTAGGTTACGTATGATACCCTTGCTCCCCCTCCCCCCCAAGTCCGAGCTTCAAGTGTGTCCATCCCTGGGATGGTGCGCTTTGCACTCTTTGTGTATGCATATACCCGTCCCTCATCCTCCCTCCCCCCTCCTCCCTGCTTGACATCTAATAGATGTTATTCTTATGTGTGCGCTTATGTGTTGATCAGTTAATTGGTTGTTGAAAAGAGCTTCTCACCTCCTCCTCTTTCTCTCTCACTTCCACTGTCACTATGTGGTGTCTACACAATAGCAACCCTTCACCTTTCACCTTGAGTGGAAGCAGCCTGAAGCCCTCACCAGAAGCAGACGCTGGTGCCATGCTTCCTATATAGCCTGCAGAACCATGAGCCAAATAAATCTCTTTTATTTATAAATTACGCAGCCTCAGATATTCCTTTATAGAAACATAAATGGACTAAGACATTTGGTTTTCAGGGTGCCATATTTCCCTGGTTTTCCTCAAACCTCAGTTTGTTTCTTCTGTTCTACTTTTCTAGTTATACACTTTCTCCATGATTTCTGATAACTGAAATGGTCCAGATTTCTGTCCCTAGAGTTCTCTACCTTTAAGTGTTCCCTTGATGATTTGATACTATCTCACAGCTTTAGATTTCATCTAGATACTGATGGCTTACAAATGTCTCTCTCTACTTTAGTCCTCTATTCTGCTTTCTGACTCACATATCCAACTGGCTACATGAACTCTCCACTTGAATATCTCATAGACACTTCCAACCTATTATATCCAAAACTGAACCCCTGATATTACCCTCAAAATGTATGTCTTTAAAAAGCTTTTTACCCTTCTCCATTTTGGCTAATGATAATTCCATCCTTCCAGTTGCTTAAGCCTGAAATCTTAGAATATTCGTGAGTCCTTATTTTTTCTCACACCTGATGCCCAATCCATTAAAATATTTTGTTGGCTCCACAGGTATTGTTGGCTATCTGAATTCAGAAACTAGTAGTATATATGAATCAACTTTTTGAGATATTTCTCAGTATTTGAACTATTGCTATTTTCTCTCATAGATTCAGAAATTAAATAAATCCAGATGATACAATATCTAACTCACCATAAGGACTAAGATATTAAGTAGACTAAGATAGCCTAGAGTAATTTCATTTTCAAAATATATACAGAATTTAGTCAGTTCTCTTTATCTCTACTTTTATCTGTTTTATTAACTGGCATATCCTCCGTGTATGGTTGGTACATAGTTACTATTCAATAAATGTGTGTAAAATGAAGTTAATATAATGGACATAGCATGTAAATAAAAATCACGATGAAGGAGCCTAATAATTTTCAGGTGGAAACAATAGACAGGTAGGAATGATACCTTTGGCTTTGGAAGGCGTTCAGAAAGTAATCCTGGTGAACTTAAGGTAAATAACATTCAACTGAGTGGAATGGAAAATAAGATATAATTTTGGTTATACTATGACTGAGTAATCAAAGAATATCAGGAAGAAAAGGTTTAGTCATTCTATAGAAGCAATATAACAGTTCAGAAACTCTCTCTAATGAGCTGAGATTTTAAAAGAGCATGTTAAAAAAACAGAAGAAAGA